TTAAAGGCTGTAAGAGAAGCACCTGTTTATAATTTCTCATTGTTGTTGACTTTCAAGGGAGGTTTTGATGATATTTGAAGATTAACAGTTTGAGAATAGCCCCTAGGGTGTTGTCTCCCATTAGAATTACTGTTGAATCTTGCTACTTTTAAATTTAATTGTCAAATTAGGTGGCTTTGTTACATGTATTAGAGCCAGTAGTCATTGCATTAAAATTTATCTGCTTCTCTTTGTCTGTGCTACCAATACTGTTTTTTATCTTTGTTTTTCTGAAATATCTTAGGAACAAAGAAGTGAAGTGTTCTTTCATCATTTGTTCTGATGATAGGATTCAGTGTAATTGAACCTTTTAATGCATTAGCCTTTAATTTTGGTTGTACTCTGAAAAATGTTCTAATTCATCTCTGCTTGTCCAAGTTTAGTGGAATAGAAATGCATAGATCAATAGAAATAGAACAAAACCACACCTTTGACATGTTTATTCTACTTAGAAGTTGATATACTCACAACTTAAGCATTTAAATCTAGTTTAATAGGGAGGTGAGGTGAGTCATTGATCACACTAGGATTAAAGCTGCCAAATTTTTATGTATTTGTTTCAACTAGTAAACTAGCATTTTTTAGGATGTCATCAAATATGAGGAAGTTTTTCATTTATATTTCTCAACAAATTGTTAGTTCATTTAAAGATAATATCAGATGGTCTTGTAGGTTGAAACATAATATAATGTGTGCATTTTCTGGATTTCTGTTCTAAGATTACAGATGCTCACACAATTACTACTACTAAATTTATAGGTACTACAGTTTGCTTTTTTGTTTAAAGGATAAATATGCTGGACAATAGTCATAAGCACCGATGAATACTCAAATTCTTATTTAGGCAAAAGAAGGGATAATGGACATTTTTAGCTGTCATTTTAATCTGTTTGGCCAATGTTTTTTTCCCCCCACGATTGAATATCTTAGGTTGTTTTCAGGCCAGAGAATTTGTGCTACATGTTATAGCTCTCAGAAGTTTGTTTCCAGATATTATTGATAGGTAAGGTAGCAGTGTCACTTTAGACGTCTTTTTGTCATTGGAAGAATTTAATGAGGTTGTTGAGTGTGACCTGGAAACTAGTAGATTTAGCATAATGGATAATAATAGTTTTGGTTTCTCGTGGCATATGCTCTGGATGTAGCCTCAGGCAAGGTGGCTCCAGACTGATCAGGAATCTAAGCTCCTTCCTGCCTTGTTCTGTCTTGTTTTTAACCTCCCACATCCTGGTCCTTCCTGGAAGGGGAAAAGGAGATAGAAGAAAGAGGAGAATGGGGAGGAGGAGGATGTATAGTAGTTATTTCTTAAGGAGATTTCTGGTAAGCTGCAAAATGAAATTTCATTTATATATTATTGGCCAGAATTTAGTCCACATGTAACCTCAAGGCAAGCTGGAAATTATAGTCTGTTTTCCCCCCTGGGCTTCTCAGGTAGCTCAGTGGTCAAGAATGGGCCTACCGATGCCGGTAGGAGACACAGGAGATGTGGGTTTAATCCCTGTGTTGGGAGGATCCCCTGGAGAAGGAAATGGCAATGCACTCTAGTATTCTTGTCTGGAAAATTCCATGGACAGAGTTTCTAAGTTTTTATTATTTACTCATACAGTCAACAAAAATATATTAGCCTGCTCTATATACTGGACACTATGATACTACTTGAAGATTTAAGGAAACCATGATTGGTTTATCAAGAGCTTACCATGTGCTTGATGAGGAGGGCATGGCAACCCACTTCAGTGTTCTTGCCTAGAGAAACCCATGTACAGAGGAACCTGGTGAGCTACAGTCCATGGGTTCACAAAGAGTTGGACACTACTGAAGTGACTGCGCATGCATACATGTGCTTGATATGGAACTATTCACTTTGAGTACATTGTTCATTTTCTCCATTTTGTAAATTAGGACGTCATCAGCCTAAAATTTATAACTACCAAATGAGAGTGCAAGTAGTTTGAACCCAGGTCTATCTCTCAAACCATTTCTTTCAGTTGTTATGAAGTAGATGTTTCATTAGACTTGAGACACATTGAGCTGAGGCATATTAATTGTTCAGTTTCAAATTCTTGCCTTGGGTAGTATAACTAGGAGTCTTTCTCTTTTTTTTAAGGTTGACTAGAGTTTTTGTGATCATACTACCTTGCTTATTTATACTTCCTAGATTTGTAAAAACCTGTTTATTTTCTATGTAACTATTTCTATTGTTATATATATAATCATTTCTATTGTTATATATATAAAACCATTTCTGTTTTATATATATATATATATGTATAAACATTTCTATTCTATTTCTGTTTAAAAACCTGTTCACTTTCTGTTAACCATTTTAAGGTGATGTCATGATTAAAATCAACAAGCTTAAAAAAAAAAAATAAAATCAACAAGCTTGAACCTCGGTTATTTTCCACAAAGCCTAGTTATTATCCTAAGTTTGTCAGCTGGGATATAGTGTAATCCTGCATGTGCTGGTTTTAAAGTATGTGGGATTAGAAGTGTGTGATGTTTCTTATCTTATAACATCTTTTTTTTTTTTTTTTAATTCTGTGCTCTCACAATAGAGTTGAGCATTTTGAAACAAATTTCCCTATAAACAAGGGAGAGTAGAGATTTGGCACAAATTTAGTTAGCATACCAAAATTTAATCATTAATTGTGTTTCTGAGTGAGTGGAAACCAGATGTGATATTTTAAAAGTTGCTAAAAAACAAATTTCCTTAACTTTATCGTTATATTAAGTGCTTAGTAAGCTACTGGAAGAAGTGTGGCAGTGTAAAAGTGACCTCATTTCTCTCTGTACTCTCAGATGTACAGTATTTAATGCTTTGACTAAAGCAACTGTGGGCTCTGTTTTAATCTGTCTGTTTCTTTTCCTCCCTTTCATTCGTTTGCACTCTGTGATAACTGCAAATAAGTTGATTTATTTCCAGTAAGTTGTGGTGCCTATAACTAAGAATCTCTTTATACCTCTGTTTTCATTAACATTTTGCAAAGCCACTCAAGTATGGGATGTGTTACTCTTTTGATTTTGTAGTTTTTTAAACCTAAACTGCAATCAGTATGATACATGGCGTGTGACAAATGCCAACCGGTAATCTTATCTGAGAGTAGTACAAAATGCTCATATTTGAAAATGTCTTGTCAGCATTCAAACTGTATATATCATTAAAACAATTTCTATGAAAATCACCTTTCGATCACCTTGTAAACCAGAGCTCACTGCGCCGTGCGGGTTCTCCATTTTCTCATAAGCATGCTTTATGTACGCTGACAGCATCGCACATGGAGATTGGCTCGAAAGCTTTTTGCTTCAAGCTGAGGTGTTTGACCCCACTGCCATACAGATGTTCTCATAATTTCCTCTCTTCGACTCCCTTTATAAATCAAAAAAGAGTGGGGAAGGGAAAATTATATGAGTGATTGCAGTATTAAATTACCGTAGAAAACTATTTGAGCTCGTTATAGTTCTCTTTTCAACGTTAGTTTCAAATTGCCAGCTTCTTAAATGGTAAGTTTTTTGTATTGACAGTCTTTAGATTATGACAGCGCTGTTTATTGACTAGTTGACACCTCGGCCTCCTGTTTTATCAGAAACGTTACTTTCTTCCCTGGTGGGAGCACGAGTGATTGCAGTTATGGAGACTAGATTTGACTTCAGAAGACTGCATGATGAGCACAGCAGATAGGCAGCGTGGGCCTGCTGCTGCTCTCATTGTGAACCTCAACTGTTATAAACCTTCACAATAGAGTTGAGCATTTTGAAACAAATTTCCCTATAAACAAGGGAGAGTAGAGATTTGGCACAAATTTAGTTAGCATACCAAAATTTAATCTTTAATTGTGTTTCTGAGTGAGTGGAAACCAGATGTGATATTTTAAAAGTTGCTAAAAAACAAATTTCCTTAACTTTATCGTTATATTAAGTGCTTAGTAAGCTACTGGAAGAAGTGTGGCAGTGTAAAAGTGACCTCATTTCTCTCTGTACTCTCAGATGTACAGTATTTAATGCTTTGACTAAAGCAACTGTGGGCTCTGTTTTAATCTGTCTGTTTCTTTTCCTCCCTTTCATTCGTTTGCACTCTGTGATAACTGCAAATAAGTTGATTTATTTCCAGTAAGTTGTGGTGCCTATAACTAAGAATCTCTTTATGCCTCTGTTTTCATTAACATTTTGCAAAGCCACTCAAGTATGGGATGTGTTACTCTTTTGATTTTGTAGTTTTTTAAACCTAAACTGCAATCAGTATGATACATGGCGTGTGACAAATGCCAACCGGTAATCTTATCTGAGAGTAGTACAAAATGCTCATATTTGAAAATGTCTTGTCAGCATTCAAACTGTATATATCATTAAAACAGTTTCTATGAAAATCACCTTTCGATCACCTTGTAAACCAGAGCTCACTGCGCCGTGCGGGTTCTCCATTTTCTCATAAGCATGCTTTATGTACGCTGACAGCATCGCACATGGAAATTGGCTCGAAAGCTTTTTGCTTCAAGCTGAGGTGTTTGACCCCACTGCCATACAGATGTTCTCATAATTTCCTCTCTTCGACTCCCTTTATAAATCAAAAAAGAGTGGGGAAGGGAAAATTATATGAGTGATTGCAGTATTAAATTACCGTAGAAAACTATTTGAGCTCGTTATAGTTCTCTTTTCAACGTTAGTTTCAAATTGCCAGCTTCTTAAATGGTAAGTTTTTTGTATTGACAGTCTTTAGATTATGACAGCGCTGTTTATTGACTAGTTGACACCTCGGCCTCCTGTTTTATCAGAAACGTTACTTTCTTCCCTGGTGGGAGCACGAGTGATTGCAGTTATGGAGACTAGATTTGACTTCAGAAGACTGCATGATGAGCACAGCAGATAGGCAGCGTGGGCCTGCTGCTGCTCTCATTGTGAACCTCAACTGTTATAAACCGGCTTTGATCTTTCTTTGCTTCAGTGTTGACTCTTATTTAATTCTAGGACGATTTGATGAAACTGTTATTGAAGAGAGGAGACAGTGTGCTGAAGATCTGCTGCAGTTCTCTGCCAACATTCCTGCTCTTTATAACAGTAAACAGCTTGAAGATTTTTTCAAGGTTTGGTGTTCTTTCTGGAATATTTTGTATCTTATTAAATGTCTTTATTTTCTAATTTGTAGTAAAGCAAGATTTAAGTTTTTTTTTTTTCTTCCCCAAACAAAATGTCGTTTACTTTTGAATTTCATTATTCAGTAAAATAACTAGAAGTTAATAGTAAATAACAGTGTCTGGCATGTCTTCTGTTTCTCTTGTGGAAAGGTGTACAGTTTGTGATTCACAGATTTAAGAAAATTGTTGCAGAGGGCTTAGAGATTATCTAATTCATCATAATTGAAATACATTAAAACATTTAAATATCATGAAGCTCCAGTAGTTATCTTCACTTTTTGAGGTGACTTTCAGTAATAGACTTCTCTTGGGGACAGAAACCACTGTAATTCCATATTAAATTTGTTTTAATTAGACTAATTTGTGTAAAGATAGAACAAAAATAGTCCATGTACAACTTAAAGGGGTAGTCTAGTACAAATTGTATTACCAGAGATCTTTGGATATTAGTGTTTTAACTTTCTTGACATGAGATGCCTTCATTCTGAGTTCATTATCATTTTTACTAATAATATTCTAGTTTATTATGTATTGAATTTGTGCTAGTTGTTGGTTAATATCAATGTCTTTATTCAGTATTAATGTCTTAATTTTTCTATTATATTTAGCTTTCTAGACTAAAGCTAGATGATTGTGCCATAATTATTTTTTCCCTCCTTTAACTAAAAATCTACTCAGTTGTATAAATGTAATTGCTTAGAACATGTAGCCAGCAAGGTATATGAGGATCTTACAAAAGAATATTATCTACAAAAGGAATTTATTTTTTATGGCCTATTTTAGTTTGCTGAAGGAAGTTGATCTTTTGAAAGACATTACAAACCTGTGATTTAGAAATAATAGTAGAAAAGTTTGTGTTAATAAGATTCTTCCTGATTGACTTTGTTGCTTTATTTTTCATTACTCTGCAAACTGGGCTGAGATGATGAATTGGCTTCTGCTTATGACCTAATGCAGATATTTAGGATAAAAGACCAAATCAAATTGATACAGTATTAGCTGTTTGCTAAATACAGCTGTTTCTGTATGGCAGGGAATCTATGCTTATAGAAAAAGACAGCATTATTAAGCAAGAAGAATATTGCTTTATAGAGATTATGAAAGTCAGTCTTGCAAATTAACACATACCAAGGGCTAGAGATCAGATTGTAGATTTTGAATAACTTAAATAAAAGCTGTTCATTCTGTTTCTTTTGGATCTGGGAATTCCTCATTGTAACTGTTGCTGAAAGACACTTATTTTTGGTTTATGTGAAATGAGAAACAAAAGAAGAGGAAGAAAAAATTGAGCAGTTTAAGAAAAGTCAAGCTAGTCTTGGAAAATATCTTGGAAATATCCTAAGCAGTGTGTTTGGTGGGAGAGGTATACTGATTTAATATCATAACAGTGATGCTTAGTTTCTTAATGTAGAGATAAGTAAATATGGTATTTGAAGGTTATTTAACTCCCAAGTAAGCAACAAAGCCAAACTCACCATGTTATCTTGTTTATCTCACACAACAAAGTTTTTTTTTCATATATGTACATATTTTTAAATTATAGTTGATGTACAAGATTATGTAAGTTTCAGGTATACAGTATAGTGAGTCACAGTTTTAAAGGTTGTGCCTGTTAATAGTTCCTGTAAAATATTGGCTGTATTCCCTGCAATGTACTGTATATCCTGGTAGCTCTTAATCCCCTACTCCTATTTTGCTCTTCACCTTTTCCCTCTTCCCAAATGTAACCACTAATTTCTCTGTGAGTCTGTTTCCTTTTTCTGTTTTATTCATTAGTTTGTTTTTTAGATTCCACATACAAGTGTTATCAAATAGCATTTGTCTTTCTCTGACTTTTTTCACTAAACATGACACCCTCTGGGTCCATGCATTGTTGTTGCAGATGGCAAAATTTCATTATTGGGGAATGTAAAATGGTAAAAATCACTTTGGAAAACAGTTTGGCAGTTTCTTAAAAACATAAGCTTCTGTTGATCTGTGTGCCTGTTCTTTTACTAATACCATACTGTCTTGATTACTGTAGCTTTATAAGAAGTTCTGAAATGAAAAAGTGTAAGTTATCCACTTTATTTGTATTTTTTCTGAGTTATTACAGCAGTTTTGATTGTTCAAAACTGAATTTTCATAAAATGTTTTAACATCAGTTTGTCCATGTGAGCACAGAATTCTGATGAAATTTTGATTGGCATTGTATTAGGTATACAGTTCAATGTGGGGAGAATTGTTATCTTACTATTATAATCTGTGAACATGAAATAACTCACCATTTATTTAGGTATTCTTTATCTCAGCACTGTTTGTGATTTTCCTGTATAAGGTACTTCTTTTGCCATATTTAATACAAAATATTTTATTCTTTTGATGCCATTATGAATGGAATTGTTCTTTCATTTAGCATTGTGCTTTAAAGGTTATATATATTTATATTTATATAGCCATGTTATAGCTGGTATCCATTAATTCCTTAATTTATTTTTAAATACTAATTATAATTTTCCTTTGTGTGGATCCATAGCTATACCACATTTTGTTTATCTATTCATCAAGTTGATGCACATGTGGGTTGTTGTCCCCTTTGACTACTATGAATGATGCTGTTATGAATATTGAGTTTTTGCGTGGACATTTTTTGTTTCTCTTAGGTATATACTTAGGAGTGGAATTGATGTGGGAAGATTTTAAATTCTAATTCAGTTTATTTTCTTGTATAGGTCTATTCTAATTTTCTCTTTTTGCTTGATACTTGATACAGCTTGGTAACTTGTGTTTTACTGGGAGTTTTCATCTGAATTCTGTAACTTGTTCATACTGTTCACTTACAATGTTTCTAGCTCCTATAGGAATGGTAGTGATATCCCCTCTTTAATCCATGATTTTGGTAATTTGTGTCTATTTTTTCTTGACCCATCTACCTAACAGTTTGGTGTTTTTGTTGATCTTTTCAAAGGATCGACTTGGTTTCATTGATTTTTTTTTTCCCTGTATTTTTCTATTTCGTGTCACTGATTTCTGTTCTAAACTATATTTCCTTCCTTTTGCATGCTTTGAATTTACTTTGCTTTTTATCTGATTCCTTAATTCCTTAAATTGGAAGCTTTAGTTATTGATTTGAGATGGTTTTTCTTGTCTAACATAGGCATTTACAGCTATAAATTTCCCTCAACACTGTTTGAGCCGCATCCCTTAAGTTTTTGTTTTATTTTCACTTATTTATTTATTTAAAAAATTTTTTTATTTATTTACTTATTTTTTTAATTTTCACTTTTATTCAGTTTAAAGTATTTTCTGATTCCTTTTATGATTTTTCTGTTGACCCATTGGTTATTTGGAGAAATGTTCTTTAATTTCCAAATGTTTGTGGATATCTTAAAGTTTCATCTGTTACTGATTTCTAATTTTGTTTTCTTGTGGTTATGATCAGAAGATATGCATTGTATGATTTCAGTCCTTTTGAATTTATTGAGACATGATTTATTTCCTAGCTTGTGCTCTACACTGGAGAATGTTACATGTTGACATAATCTGTTGTCTGGTGAAGTTATATTTATTAATTCAGGTGGAGTAAATATTAATTCAAGTTAGTTGATAGTATTGTCTTCATTATCCTTGCTGATTTTCTGTCTAGTTGTTCTAGCAATTATTGAGATTGAGGTATTGAAGCCTCTAATTATTATTGCTGAATTTTCTGTTTTTCTTTTCAGTTATGTTGATTTTTACTTCATTTTGGGCCTTTTTTGGCGTGTGCATGTATGTTTAGAATTGTTCTATCTACCTGATGAAATGATTTACTTAATCTTATGAAATGTCCCTCTTTCTAGTACTGTTTATTGTCTTAAAGTCTGTTTTGTGTGATTTTAATATAGGCAGTCTAGGTTTCTTACAATCTGCATGTACTTTTCTTTTAATTTTGCTTTCAAGCTGTTTGTATAATTGAATCTAAAGAGTATTCTTACATGCACTATATATAGTTTGATCCTATTTTTTTAATCTAGTCTGAAAACTGCTGTTGTTGGTGTGGTATTTAGTCTTTTTGTATTCAGTTATTGAGAAGACTGATTTTTTGTCTGTCATTTGCTATTTTTTATGTCATACATATTTTTTGGTTTTTCATTTCTACTTTATGCCACCTTTTGTATTAGATAGGTATTGTTTATTGTGCCACTTAAATTCTTTTTTTTTTTTTAATATGTGTGCTCTTACTAAAAAAAAAATTATTTATTTGGTTGCACCAAGTCTTAGTTGTGGCACACAGGCTCAGTAACGAGGCATGGGCTTAGTTGCTCTGCCACCTGTGGGATCGTAGGTCCCCCCTCCAGGTTTTGAACCCAGGTCCCCTGAGCAGGTTCTTAACCACTGGCCACCAGTGAAGTCCCTATGTATGTGCTTTTAAAAGTTATTTCTTACTGTTTGCTCTAGGGATTAATGTATGCATTTTAATTTATGACAATTTACTTGAGAAGAATACCAAATTCTAGTAAAATAGAGCTTTATGGTGCAAACTTGGTCTATCAACTCCTTTTTTATTGTTATCATCATAGACAGCATATTAAAAAATGGAGACATTGCTTTGCTGACAAAGGTCCATCTAGTCAAAGCTCTGGTTTTTCCAGTAGTCATGTATGGATGTGAGAGTTGGACTATAAAGGAAGCTGAGCGCTGAAGAATTGATGCTTTTGAACTGTGGTGTTGGAGAAGACTCTTGAGAGTCCCTTGGACTGCAGGGAGATCCAACCAGTCCTTCCTCAAGGAAATCAGTCCTGAATATTCATTGGAAGGACTGATGCTGAAGCTGAAACTCCCAATACTTTGGCCACCTGATGCAAAGAACTGACTCATTGGAAAAGACTCCAATGCTGGGAAAGATTGAAGGCGGGAGGAGAAGGGGACGACAGTGGATGAGATGGTTGGATGGCATCGCCAACTCAATGCACATGAGTTTGAGCAAGCTC